CGCGTAGATATAAGCGCGAGGGAGATAGAGAGAGAGAGAGAGAGAGAGAGAGAGAGAGAGAGAGACAGGGAGGGAGAGAGAGAGAGAGAGAGAGAGAGAGAGGGAGGGAGAGAGAGAGTGCACGCAGAGGGTGCGCGTGCCGGGGCATGCATGTGTACGTGTCTGCAGGTGGGTGAGGGTGCGTGCGTGCATTAGGTGGCTCTGTAAGTTTGGATACGTGTGTGCATGTGTTTGTGTGAATACCTGCCTTGTGTGGTCTTCTTGTAATAATGTGGGCGTTTTCTATGTGCGTCTGCACTTGGGTATAGATCCGCGAACGTCTTCAGAAAAGAACTGTAAATATGTCGTATATAAATAATAAAGAGAGTCGGATGATAGTTTTAATACGTAATCGAAAAGGGAGGCTGGTGGGTTTTACGGCATGCAAACGACTACCCGTTGTTTGCATTATTTAGCATATCATTTACAAGCGTGAGGTCAACTAATAACATTCCTTGGTTTATGACATGTAAGTATACGTTCGGCATGGCTGCAGTTGTCGTGGACTTTTGGGAGAAACATGAGCATGTAATTATAGCCTATTACTACACAACTGCTCTATTCGCGGTAGCTAAGCGTGCGCATTTTTACCGTCATGAATCACACCGATCGAAGTTTGCACTTGTGCCAAGTTCACCATTGTGTCATATAAAGTTGTGAGACGGCTTGCAGCTAGTTGAGCAAATTCAGTTCAGAAGCGCAGTTGTTTTTGTGTAGTAGAACTGTGCTGCTCGGTATGTTAACACGCAGGTTAGACATGCTCAGGGTGACAAGATTGCTAGCCGATCGAACCAATTTGTCTGTACTTTTCTTCAACGCTGGTCGCTCCATCGCGATCGATTTTTTTTTCGTACTGCATGGCGGTGTGTGGATTTTACGATGAGCGTGTCGTTTATTTCGGTTTGGCGTGTATAAACTTGCAGTGTGTAGAACTAGCCGTACTAAATGTTGTATAGGTAGAGCTACGACGGGTGATCACCGACTATCTGTTATTCGTCTGCCTTGCATGTGCACGAGGGAGATCCATAAATATCCTATAATGCATTAGGCTACCGTGCGTGTAAGTGGGAGATCTGTACAAGTCCCATAATACACTGGGTGCATTATGGAATATTTATGGGGCGACCAATCGCAGGCCGAGGTGCCCACGCTTTGCAGCGCGAATTTTGCTCACGTTTATGCATTTAGCAATCGAACATTCCACTTGGTGCGTGGTCATCAAATGTACGTTTGTGAGTTGCAGCCTGCCGGCGTGCCACGAATAACTTTCGACAGTCGCGTCGAGAGACGTGGAAGTAATCATGACCGCCAACTGGTGGACAACATGGTACCAACGTGTAGAGACCCATGTTTGACACAGGGTTGTAAATTTTGTCATGTGTAGCAGCAACATTTAAGCAATGATGTAGAACAATCACTGCTGATGAGGTGTGGTGCCGTGATTAAAAAACAACAACAAATGCACGCATTATAGCAAACGCAGACGATTGGAATAATTCTTCTGTAGATATTTACATTCTGTCTCTAGGTTACAACTGTGCTAGTGAAATAACACTTGTATTGTCTGTTGTGGGCTGTTTAATATAAGAAATCATTTTCTATAGAAACACGAATATTATTACTTATAAATATGCGAGTATAAAACCCTTCTCGGCGAACGTGAGAAGTCTTGTGTTCACAATGTGTAACGTTACTCGAACGCATCTTGATGTTAGGCACAGTATTAACATGATCTTGTGTTCTCCGATTGTTTGATGACTGCAGAGTTGGTCATAGCGAGAGGATGTGTTCCAGAATTCCCTGTCTAACGAGGTGCTCACACTGTGACCTTGGTAGAAAATGCTAAAAAGAAAAGCATAGGGTGTCAACGCCAAAACAAACTGCAGTGAAAGGGGAAACGTAATCAAATCACATTAAAAAGAAAAGCATAGGGTGGCAAAGCCAAAACAAGCTGCAGTGAAAGGAGCAACATAATCAAATCACATTAAGAAGAAAAACCACACACCAACCAACAACCAGTCCACAATATCCAGTTGCGACGGTTTTTGAAAATGTCTCTTTCTAATTCTGTTTACAGATAGTGAGTAATACGTACAGTTGACCAGTTAGCTCTAATATCATAATCATATCTACAGTTACCTGACTACTTTTCTTCAATAGTATGATGTCACCATCATCCGTCTCAAATTCTCCGTAATCAACCAAACATCGCACCTGTTGGAACCCAAAATGTAGGTGTTATATGCCATATACAACTAGATATAAAACTGGGCTTTGTGTCGAACTCGCTACACAGTTACGTATATACGTCAGCAAGTCTGTAATGGATTAACGGAGATTTTAAAACCACAAATGGCAGCAGTAACGCATACGGAAGGTCCCGCGTTGAAAAAGACGGCGATAACGACGCGAGAGACGTCGCTCGTGTAACGTATATTTTCTGCGTCACCTCGATGTACAGGGACTTTGGCGGCTTCGTGTCTTGCGTGAGGTCCAGTCCGCCGTGAGAGCCGATCGACCGCATGTAGCCGGCGAGAGACTTGCTGTATCGACTGAACCACTGCAACTGCAAGAACGCGGCCGCCGGCCGGCCGGCCTTGTACATACTCGTCTACACAGTGTGAGACCAGTGTTCGTGTCACTGTCGTAGACGCCAACGTGAAACTACTTCAATTCTCTGCACAGCAGAAGTTGTTCTTCCAGGGGCTATTTAATTATGCAGGTACTTCATTTGGGGGGAAATCTGGTAACTTGTAATCGATCCACAGATGCAGAAGATTTTCGGAAACCCAGTATAAATACGTAGAGAATCTGCCCCTTCCCGCCCCCTGCCGGAGTGGCTAGCGAATTTCCAGACTTACTTCGTGTTCAGAAAGGCAGAGTTTGATATCTTGCGGTAAAACGCTCCCGAATTCCCACCTCATGTCTCTGATCCTTAGGAGGCGATTGTAACTGAAAGCGACGCGAAACCAGTGGTTTAAAATATAGAAAATAGCATTGACAAACAAATTCACTAGTTAACGTTTGGATTCTAAAAATTCCTGAAGTCGCCATGCGGTGTGAGTAATGACCATATTCTGGATGGAATTATATTTCCTTTCTAAAAATGCTCTCTTTCTATTGCTCATTTAATAAAACAACAATCCGACATCAAAATCGCCTCCAGACATCACCACAAACCCTATATATATATATATATATATATATATATATATATATATATATATATATATATATATACTGACCCTATATATATATATATATATATATATATATGTGTGTGCTGTATATATTTCTAGCTTACAGATATGCTAACAAGCAGCGCCGATTTCGTTCCAAGCATGCATGACGGAGCTGTACACCTGAAAATAGACCCATCTCTCCTCCGACTGTTGCACTCCTGAAAAAAGGACAAAGGATTTTGATTGCTCATTCCTGTTTTGTCTTATCTGCATACATACAAATTGGAGCTTTCCAGATTTCCTGCATGTTTCAAATACAAACACCCTAATTTTGAGCCGTAGGTATGAAAAGTCAAATATGACATCGTTGCGCCATCTAGTGGAAGAAAAAGTTATAACGGTGCACTGTCAGCATTTTATGTAACAATATTAAATAGTGAAAAGCACTTACACATCTTGCTGGTTTTGCTCAAATAAGCCTCGCATTTCTTCTAGTACTTGTCTGATGCCATCCTCCTGTAATTCATATAAATTATAAGCAGGATTACTCAGGAAAAATGAAAGAATGATCACAATCAATGACAAACCTAGCTCTAGTAACTATAGCCCGCGTACAGTTGCCGGAACCATGCGAGCGTGCGCAACGAGAAATGGCGGTTACAAGTTGATAAACAATCTTCGTCGACGAGTAATATCGCAAGTACAATATTTAAGCGATAGTTTGCTGTTTAACTTTAGTGTTTATAGTAACTTAAGACATTTGTCCGGCAGAGAATGTGTTTTATTTGACATACCGAAGAAGTTATTATAGGCTAAAAGTTGTCAGAAAAAACTCATTCGAAATGGCCATGTTACGGTCTATAGCCCTGCGGCAACTGTACGCAGGCTATAGTTACTAGAGCTATGACAAACCATGCTCAAGACAGAACGTGCTACGATATGTGACACGATTCACTAATCGTAACTAGATGTCACGGCCCAAGGATAGAGAACATGAGCCAATAAAACCAATGTGCCTAACCCTAACCCTAGCCATAACCCTAACCATAACCCTAACCTATTATATTGATATAATATTATATTTATATTGATGTAAATGACATTGGTTTTATTGGGACCCATGTTCTCTATCCTTGAACCGATGTCACACGATGTGTTGAGTTTCCCATGTTAGTCAATCTACGTAGGTCAGTAATACTAATAGTACAACTACAGTACAATCATGTCAGTTCATTTTTGTTAATAATAATATTAATAGTGTTATGGATTGGAAATCCAAAATCAAAGCCAATTTCAAAGCATGTGAAAAGGTCTCCCTTGGAAAAGCCCCGACGATAATAAAGGAAACAAGAAGAAGAAGATGATGATGATGATGATGATGATGATGATGATGATGATGATGATGATGAAGAAGAAGAATGAGAAGAAGTTAGTCTACACTAGCTCTAGCTAGTACTATAGCCCGCGTACAGTTGCCGCTCTATACTTAACGCACGTTGAATGGCGGTAGAGCTGAACCAGCAGATCGCTGCAGCTCTCGTATAAGTTCCAAGGCTTTCTCTCCATACATGATTGTAGCTTGGTGTCGGCCCCAAAAAAATATGCGAGAGTGAATAAAAGTCTGTAAATCATAGGTAGTCACGAATCGCAGAAAATCTTGTTATTGTTAATGTACCAGGTAACAACTTTGTAAACAAAACCACCGCCAAAGTTTACACGTAACGGAAGTACGTATTTCTCCCAGCATACTTTGCATTTGGCTGCAATAAATTACATTACAAACGCATAAATTACATTTAAATTAATTTTAGCAATTCCGTTTAATAGTGAACATTACTAAAGTTAAACAATTTTATTAAAATGTTTATACTAGCCTGTACTTTATACTGCAAAAATCTATTTTGCAAACTGTCTTCTATCAGTGCATCTTGGTTCAAATAGCCTTCTCCATTACAACACTTAGAAATGGCATGTAAAAAGTAAACATTGACGTGATGAAGATGTTGTCCTTAACACAGCCTGTTAATTGGGTTCAACAAACAGTCTACGCATGGTTTTTCCGTGTAAAGACAACAGCGTTAAAAGTGGTTATTGTCCTGGGTATTTTAATTATTCTGTTGTGGTTATCAACCTTTTTCTATGGCACTTTTTACTATGTTTACATGCCACCACTATCACACACGAAGCCAGTCCATTTACAATTCAGGTAGGCTAAGTGATTCTCAGTCAGTTCTTTGGCCATTGCAATTTCACTGGATTCTATTATTCTAGTTGGATAGCATTCATAGTTGATTTATAGTTGGTGTCATTACACTGTCAATAAAAAATATGGTGACAACATTGATTGTTGTGTAACTTGTGTCATATTCACACTTCTCGTAGACTGCATCACATCATACATGCACTTGAAGCGTTTCAATAAAATATAATGCTGAATAAATACGAAATCTATTTACTACCAAATTCTTAATGTTTCTATACTCTCTTTCACCTATTATTGCCGACAGTTTCCTGTAAATTATGTCCAAATCCTACGTGCAACATACGCTGCCGGCGCCCATTGCTCTCGCGGCGGCACTGTGCACAGTTACACATATATATAGTATATAACACTATATATAGTATATACAGGTAACACATATATATAGTACACTATATATATATAAGTGTAACTGTGCACAGTGCAGCTGCGAGAGCAATGGGCGCCGCCAGTGTATGTTGCACGTAGGATTTGGACGTAATTTACAAGAAACTGTCGGCAATAATAGGTGAAAGAGAGTATAGAAACATTAAGAATTTGGTAGTAAATAGATTTCGTATTTATTTAGCATTATATTTTATTGAAACGCTTCAAGTGCCTGAGGACTGCATGGTTATTAATAAACAATTCTAGTTTGGAACCCCAGTATACTATAGTTTACATAATGCTAAACTAATTTGGCGTACCGGTACTAAACTGGAGTGGGCCGTTACTAAGCTGTAATCATAACCTTACTGCCCGTTTTTTACTTGATTTGTATCATTTAACTGCTATGAATTAAATGCCTATAATAATAATACACTGAAAAATATTGATTTTAATATCACACGAATAAACATGTTTTTTTTAGGTCTGACTGTGATATGCGTGAGAGTTTGTGCTCGTTTCCGTCAGCAAATGTCACATTTGGCAAAATTGGTGATCCCCAGGTAATAATAATTTATCTGTATGTATGTATGTATGACTGGGAACCTTTAGATCGGTATTTCCCTGCAAAGAATAAAAAAAAAAAAAAAGCTGTTTAGTAAGCTGAACTATAGTAATATTACCAATGAGGCTGCTGCCAACCCTAAACCCCAGGAGAGTTTTCAAGAGCTCCTCCTGCATGTCATGTGAGGTTTCTGTTGCCTCCAAACCTGTTCTACGTTTAATCATATTAAAAAAACTTTTTCTATGGTTTTCTTATCCAGGACATTCTAGTAAAAAGTGCTCCAGGGTCTCCAACTCTCTTCTCCCACAAATTAAACATTTATCTTCGCCTCCCCAGTGTCTAGTTCGTTTATTCAATGGCAAGCACCCCGCCCTGCATAGAAACAGCAGGCTACTCCCAAGACTATTATTATAAAAGGACTCTTTACCAGGCGTCTTTTTTTCTTTATACAATCCTAGCGAACTCTTGTTTTCTATCCCTTTTTTCCAGACGGTAGTACCACTCTGTTTAATTGCTCTTTCCACTCTAACATTCCATTCTTTAATACCCCCCCCCCCATTAACTCTTCGTCTAGACTCCTATCCGAGTCAAACTTTGTTATGAGGAACCTAGTTCTCCTCCTCCAATCTGATCTGAATTCGCCCAATTCCATTGCTTCCGCTATCTGTTTACATTTACGTTCATTATTCATATATTTTATCCTGCCCCAATATTTAATTTTACTTTTTGCCTTTCTCTCTTCAAAAGTTGACCATCCCATCTCTCCTCTAATACTCTCCAGTCCCACATAAGAGGGTGCCCTTAGTAACTCCCTTCCCAGCTGGTTTTGAGTCCTGTCTAGTGCCTGGAGCATGGACGTTCCTCCTTTTTTAACTTTAAATACTAGGGCTTCATTTGTATACGTCAGTGCAGGCACTGCAACTGCTTTTCAAAGCTCCCTACCCATCCAATATCTATTGAAACTATAGAATGCCTTTGAAGCTATTGCTCCCCTGTATTTTCTTGCTTTTTTTCGTATATCATCCCCATGCTGTTGTAAGCAGTTTTCGATATTGTCACTAAGCTTTGCCCCCAGGTAAGTGTATTCAGATACTGGCTGCAAATTCATTGCCCCCAGTTTCCAGACACCCTGTTGCTCCTCTATCGGCTTATTGAGAATCATGATTTGGGATTTCTTTTCTCCAAAAACCATTCAAAAATTTTCTGCAAAATCTGCGGCAATGCTCAACATACTTTCCATTTTACTCTTATTCTCTGCTAGCAGAACCACATCATCCGCGTATACATCCCCGGAAAGCTATTTCCTCCAATGCATAATCCATTTGCATTTGTTACGAGCCGTCTAATGCTAATTCGTCCTAGAAATAATTCAAATACATGTACATGTACTGTACTAAAACATGTATGAAATCAAAAATGCTGTTGGTAATGTTTTGTAACTATGTATGCTTTATTTAACTACGTGGTTATAGTTTGTTGTGTGTTAATTGCTAAGCATACACATTTTATGGTCTGTAAACTGATAACTGATTAAGTAAACATGCTAATATTAAGTATATTGTATTCAGATGTTAATGCCTGGTCAGCCATACAAAGTTCATGTCGAGATTGAAATGCCAGAGTCTGAAGTGAATCAAAATTTAGGTATGACGAATAACTGTGAACATATCTATACATGATCTATTATACAAAGTATATAGTGTGCTGTGTGGTGTGCTATCTATTGATGTGATCTAAGATTATTATTATAGCCTGTTGCTGCAAACATGACTTCCAAACGGCCATGAACATCTCTTAAGTAGCAGTGATCCTAAGAGGAAGCATGTACTAACTATAGCGTAGATATTCGATCTAGTCAACGGCAACTTCTTTCGTCTGACTCTACCCGCTTATAAAGTGAGATGAATTTGGAAGGTTTAAACGTATCGTCAATCAGTTCTGATGCTGTGTGAATTAATTCCCATTTTATATTCTTTCAGGAATGTTTATGGTGATCATAAATTTCTATAGCAAAGATGGAGAAGTTGTGAAATCATCTCACCGATCTGTACGTACGACCTCACGTCACACGTTCCTAGCAAGGAACCACCACCTCACTACGTGAACACTTAAATGTGATACGCAAAACACAGCGCAGTACTCAATGTTATAAACGTATAAAGCTATCCAGAAGCGATGGCCCCGTCCCCCCTCCCCACTAACAGGTTTATCCCGTAGAGTCGTAGACACGCTTAATGCGCCATCTAGTCTCTCGTCCATATCCCGTGTCGTCTGTCGCTCGCATGGTCGGTGCTGCACTGGCCGTCTCTCTCTACCATGTGGTGTGGTACTATATCTACCCCGTGGTGTGGTACTATCTCTACCCCGTGGTGTGGTACTATCTCTACCCCGTGGTATGGTACTATCCCTACCCTGTGGCATGGTACTATCTCTACACTGTGGTGTGGTACTATCACTACCCTGTGGTGTGGTACTATATCTACACCGTGGTGTGGTACTATCTCAACCCTGTGGTGTGGTACTATCCTTACCCTGTGGCGTGGTACTATATCTACACCGTGGTGTGGTACAGTACACGATCTATTATCCGAAACCCTTGGGACCAGACACATTTCGGAATTCGGGGTTTTTCGGATTTCGGAATTTTTGATAATAGATTGTGTACTGTACTATCTCTACCCTGTGCTGTGGTGCTATCTCTACCCCATTGCAGGTGATGCTGCGCTACCGCTCGTTGTTGCTACGGAAGCTGCGCACGTTCTGCTATGCGCCGTTGATGCTGCTCGACACGATGGAGGAGAAGCAGCTGCAGCGCGTCGAGCTCTTCGACCGTTACCTCGACGACGCCGTAAGCCACATGTCGCCGCGTGTTTGAGCGCCGCGGGCCGATTGCGGCCTGTAAATCCCTCCATCCAGTATTCCTCCTCCATCCCGTAATCCTCATCCTGTATCCCGCATTCTTTATACACCATCCTGTATCCCTTAGGCCATAATAAAAATATTGTTTGTTTGCCCTCTCCTGACCGACCCGCCAAAAAGGGGCAGACTCAAAAAATTTTATTGATCTTTCCCATTCTTTTTTTTTGTACAAATTCTATCACTGTACTGTGTACAACACATGCACCAAGCATTGAAGCAAAACAAACATTCAACATAAAAGGTATCTCCACATAAGCACACAGAACAAGGAAAAAACAAGCCGAAATTGGAAAAAACCCCCCCAAAAAAAAAAAAAAAAAGCCTACCTACCTACCCAAACTTTTCAGCCTGGGTTGGGTGAGGGCAAACAAAGATTTTTTTAATTGTGGCCTTGTCCTTTCTACTCCATCCTGTATCCTGCATCTTGTATTCTGCATCATGTATGGCCTCTTATCCTTTGATAACCGCCATCCTGTATCCCTTATCTTTTATAGACCACATGCCGTATCCCTCATACCTTTAACCCCATCCTGTACCCCTTATCGTTATACCCATCCTGTAATCCCTTTATCGCTTGATAGCCCCCATCCTGGATACCTTATCTTTATAGCACATCCTGTATCCCTACACCTTAATACCCATCCTGTGAATCCTTATCGTTTTATAACCAGCATCCTGTATGCCTCATTCCCATTTATACCCATCCGTCCATCCCTTATCGTTTAAATGACCACAATTCCTGTAGCCCTCACTGCCTTTATACTCCATCCGTACTTCCTTACCTTTTATACCGTCATCCCGTTACCCTACCCTTTCATACGTCCATTGTATGCTTACCTTTATACCACCATCACTGTATCCCTATCCTTTATACCCCATCATGTATGCCCTACCTTTTAACACCGCCCATCAGTGTATGCCCTTGATCCTTTATAGCCTCCTCATGAGGGCTGCGCTTTATCCTTTCTAAACCCATCCTGTATCCCTTATCCTTTATATGCCAGTCACGGTGTATCCCGTTTTATCCTTAATAGCCCCAGTCTTGTATCCCTACTATCTCTTTATACTCCATATGTATACGCCTTATTCCGCCTTTATACCCTCCATCCGTATTCCTTATCGCTTATAACCAGCATTCGCATCTTGTATCCGCTTCAGTCCTTAATACCCCCCAGTCATTAGCCCTTATCCTTCTATACCCGCCATCTTGTATCAACCTTATCCGTTATATCGTCTCATCCTGTATTCTTACAATCACTTCTATACCCCATCAATGTAGTCCTTATTCCTATTACAACCCATCAGAGTTCTCCTCCAGGCACCTTCTATACTCTCCCCCATCTCTGTAGCCCTTATCTAATTTATACCTTCCAGCCTGTATTTCCTTATCTTCTTGAATACGAATGCCATCTTGTGTCCCGCGCATCCTGTGAATTCCGTGGCCCGGATTGCCAAGCCCTAGGTTTACTGGCCTATACGAATACCGCCCACATCCTAGTATTGTTCGTATCCGTTACCCAAACCTCCCTATCCTGTATACGCGTCCATAAAAATACTCTTATCCGTTAACCCCCATCCCCTGTAATCCACCCGTTCTCGTACCTCTACGATCCTGCACAGCCATCCTGTTACCCCGATCCTGTATCGGCCTCTCGTCCCGTACCCCCCCACCCATAATCCTCCATTGTTTAAGTGACCCGGTTCATTAGCATTGCAGCATAGTGTCTTATACGATCCTGTATCTCGCGACATGTATCCTTAGAAGTGGTGAGATAATGTATTGATGGTATAAAAAAAAGTGCTGTTCTATATGCCGCATCGGTTGATGTCTTCATTAGAAGCAAATATACATGTACCAAACCAGAGCGAGCCCAAAATAAATATACCACATAGGTTGACCTTTTCTGGGCTCATGGGCGTGCATACTGCTTCTTGGCAACTTGATTCAAAACGCTATTAGCTGTTGTGAACGAGAACGAAGGAAATCGAAAATTCACAATTCAAAATTATGGAACAATATCAAGGTCTGGTGATTAGGTACGTGTGATGAGAAGACCTCAGGCGTGGAAAATGAGCTAGAACGTGACATAATGAGAACCGATTGGCATAAAGGTTATATCAATACTTTAGTGTCTCACAAATACACAAATGTATCCCTCTGCACAGGTTTAGTAATTCTGCAGAGGAAATTGTCATACGCATTTGGGAATCATTTCAGTATAAACCAGCAACATGGGAGGCCTTGACATTGAGGTGTCAGTCAAAGCACATGCCACATTACATCGGCAGTGCTGGTGTCCACTAAGGACTTTACGGGAGGTCATGTATATATCCTAAATACTCTGTATCTAACATTTATTCTTCATGCCTAATGTGTCTTAACATGTGTAAATATAGCATGTAGATTCAGAATGAAATGTTGTTAAGCGTTTAAATTCTGCGCAGCGCGAGATGGCTGGAAAGGCCCTCTACTTCTGTTTTAAACCGTATAGAATTCCACAGAGCATGTCCAATATGCCCAGGGTAACGTATCTTGATATTGCAGTAACTCAACTGTCGGCAAATGTATGAATGATGTTCGCTTCCTAAGGTACATACTATTTAATCACCGCCGCAGATCTTCTCAGGCTGTGTTGTGGCAAACTACAGAATCTTAAACAACATGACCGTTCCTATCGATGATAGCGCTGTTCAGGCCTACCCGAGTTTCTAATGGGCAAGGACGAGTCACCAGCAGGTATTACGCGAAGGATTGCTTTGAGGCATCGAATCATTTGAACTGAGGAGGTCTGCAACGGCAGAGGAGAGACTGAACACGGAAGGGACGGTGAGTTTTCCATCAGTGCGCTTGCAGCACTGGTTAGATGTAGCATCCCGCAGATTAACTGAGCCATTACTTGAATTTCTGTCATAAAATCGCAGATGGGGTCTATAAAGGGCGTAGGGTCATTAGGGTATTTATCAACCCTCCGCAAAACCAGACTATGTATGACCAGTTTTCTAATTGCCTGGGCACCAAGGGATGCAAACTGGAGTAAAGTGCTTGCTCAAAGATACAAAAGCAGCAGTGACTGTGGTTAGGGCCTCTAAATCCATCGCAGCCTAAGTTTGAAATAACTACATTTAGAGCAACTGCTCCTACAATGGATTACTAGAGTAATGGAATCGCTACCAATGATTACGCATAATATGAATAACGATCCTCTAGAGGGAATTTCACTGCACTCACACGTAACCACCAGAGCGTAAGATCAGTGAATTATGATAAATACTGAGACTGATAATTGCATATGCCAAGTCTAGATAGAAGCCTTACAGGTAGAAAAGGGTCACAGTTGCAACAAATAAACGATAAACGCGCAAATGTCCAGATATGAAAGTGTTAACAAGACGAGCAACGAGCGAATCGGTCGGCTTCACGAACCAAGATGCAAGGAAGCTGGTTCTGTCTCTACTGCGCTGATGTCGTTGGTCCGGAAATATGGTTTAGTAACCCAGTGAGCAGGCAAAGAGCAGAAAGATTTAGTTCATAGGCCCGTTAAGCTGCAAAATGTGGGCAAAATCTTAGCGTCGTAAAAGAACTACTCTGTTCTGATTGCAAACGCTGCATACTTTAATAATGGGTGTAATTTAAAATTGGTAGACCTTACTATAAATGCGGGTATAATTTCGCAACCCCCAATTTGTGAAACAGCGCAAAACATGCAGAATTATGAGGAAACAAAAGTAATAAAACGAGCGAGAGGATGTAGCTAAAGAAAGTTAATGGTACCACAGCACGTGGGTAGTCTGCTCCGTCAGTATCTTGTGTGCCACAAGGTCAGCTAGTTCCGGCAATTATGCTGCATCAACGGAAGCCGTCGGAGAAAGCACACGCGAGCAAGGATATCTCCCTTCACTATTTCGCGCCATCGGCGAGTAATCTACTTCCCGCTACCACTCAGCTTTACTCTCGGATTCCTTCAATTCTCGCTGTTTTCTCCCTTCTGCCGTTGCCTATGTTGCCCATTCGCATTAAATTTCACATTTATCATTCACCTGTCACTTTCAGTACATTATTCACTATGCGTTCACTTTTCGCCGTTTATCGTGCACTCCTACATAGTATACCAGTCTTTCCTTAATGCTTGTTCGCCCTTAACAACACCTCTACACCGTTACTAAGAACTTTCAACGTATGCCCTGCACTACACTCGTTACTATAACTGTTCACGTGCCTCTACACCGTTACTATACTTTCACGTGCCTCTACACCGGTCGTTACTATAGTTTCACGTGCCTCTACACTCGTTACTATACTTTCACGTGCCTCTACACTCGTTACTATACTTTCACGTGCCTTACACTCGTTACTAATGAGCTCACGGTGCCTCTACAGCTGAGTGACATATAGCTTCACTGTGCCTCTATCACTCGTTACAAATATACTTTCACGTGCCTCTACACTAGTTAATAACTTTCACGTGCCTCTACACTCGTACTATACTTCACGTGCGCCTCCTACAGCTGCCGTTCAGCTAAATACTTTCACGCCTTTAACACTCGTTCTACCTATACTTTTTTACACGCCTGTTACACTCGGCTTCATTACTGACTTTCCTCGATCGTCGCTTTCAGATCAGTTCTCGATTCCGACCAACATGTATCGGCTAACGACGGCGGCGGAACAGGGGCGGCCAAGACCTACGCGTGCCCGGACGCTCAGTGACGCTGAGGTCGGCGCAACGCTCACGCGCGCAGCGAGGGGCATGGGCGTCGGTCTGAGCCGCCGTGCAGCCGGGGAAGCGGCAGCGAGGGCATGGGGTCATCAGAGCCGCCGTGCAGCCGGGGAAGCGGCAGCGAGGACAGCGATGGCGGCGGCCGTGTGGTGCAATTCCTTCTGCACGAGGAAGAGATGCTGAGCGCGCTGCGAGAGTACGACGCGGCCCAAGGTCACGAGCTCCAAGGTCACGAGCTCCAAGGTCACGAGCTCCAAGGTCACGAGCTCCAAGGTCACGAGCTCCAAGGTCAAGAGCTCCAAGGTCACAATGGCGGCGACGTGCCCCAAGGTCATGATGACGCCGCCGCGGCTGAAGCAGACATGGAGCTGCGGCACAGGCGCGTGCAGAGCTAGTCGCGGGAAGGTCGACGAAGCGCGGCGAAGACGAGTGTGTAGAGGGAGAAGGTTGTGTTGGAGGAGGGCCTCGGAGCGATGTGGGCGATTTTTGTGCGTGAAACGATTTCTTGGGTAAATTACATACGGAACGATTTGAGAGATGTGGTTTGTGTAAGAAATCATAGATATTAAAATACCAAAATCATTTTAAGGCAACGTTTAATGAAGGAGGTAGGTGTATTTGAGGTAGTAGGATTAGGTCAAACTCATTATTAGTCTCAAATTTAGTTCGTTGATACCAATGTTATATGTCGATGTGTGCATTCTGGTCCACTGTTCACATGCTAGTCGCATGAATTCATGAATTCAAGAATTACACATTATATAAAAGCACATCATGCAGTATGCGTATACTTCCATACATACTCATGCACGTATAGGAGTAGGTGCCCTGAAATGTAAATTTTCTTTGTAGAGGCACGCATGTTAATTGATTGTGTACAGTTATTTAATTTGTTGCATAAATTATTTTAATGTTTGAACCATAAACGTGCAATTTCCCATAATGTGGAGAGCTAAAGGAAGTCCATGTCACAGTTTAGTTATATCTTGGCTTCTATGCAGTATTATATAAATGAGCACATGTGTGTACCGACTTACACGGGTTCGTATTGACTGCATGTAATCCATAATACGAAATAGACAGTCTTGTTTTTAGCTGTAAAACAACTGTTAGTATTACTTTACTATAAAATTTCGCGTTTGTTTATTCGTGCGTGCGTGTCTGTTCGCTCACTTTTATGCGTGTGTGTGTGCGTGTGTGTGTGTGTGTGTGTGTGTGTGTGTAGGGCCGCAGGTGGTGGGTGAGTTGGAGGGACGACAGTTGCCCGCCCAGAGCTTGGCGGCGCTAACGATAAGATCAGGAGTGAATAATAATAGATTATTATTATTATGGATTATTATAATATCGATTATTATTCATTCCTGATGAGAAGCAATCGTCGTTCGTGGCATTTATGTGCCAGGGAAGTACGGGGCAGGTCGTACGCGTGGTTCACGTTATAATTATTATTATATTTCCTTTATAATTGAAACTTTACGCGTTGAAATCTCTGATCGGTAATGAGATCTTGTTTAATTGTTCTTGTTATTATCCGAAAACAACACGCACGCACGCACGCACGCACGCACGCACGCACGCATAAACGCGCGCACACACACTCACACAAAACATGCACACAAACATCCGAGTTGAACCAAATATGATTGGGAAGTTTGGGTACATGCGTATAGCGTGTGATACTGTGAGTCAATGGTCACGAGTTCAAATCTTGTCAATTTCTATAGTAAATTATTTTCTAACTGTCGTTAAGCCCAAATGTAACTCATAGACCCGAGCTGAACATACGAGGAAAGCTATGATTGGGCGCGCACGTAGCGTGCTGGTCTGGCAGTCAATGTTCTTGGGTTCGATTCTCGCCAATTAAAATATTTTCTAAGAGTTGGTAGGTGAAATGTAAACATACATTAATCTTGCCCTTGGCAATGATCTTGACGAGGTAATGTAAATATTTTGAAAGTGGTCAGCGGAGTGGCCTTGAGCCCAAGGCCATGGCCTTGACATAATTTTGTAAAATCTTTGAAAATAAGAAAAGTGGCTCAAGGCCATGGCCTCGAGCTCAAGGCCACTTAGTATTGTACCAATTTTAAAGATGGAAAAGCAGGTCAAGGCCATGGCCTTGAGCCCAAAGCCAAGCCTTCGAACAGGTAATGTAAATATTTATAAAATGAACGAATTCATTAGGGCCAAAGTCAGGGTCAAGGTCAGCACCACCAGATAACGACAATCCACACTAAAAGTGAATCTATCACACTGAAATCTATCTTTATCTTTCTACTATTAACATAATAAAATAGGCACAACGAACATTTTGGTCAGGGGTTTATTAGAAAATATTTAAATCGTGGAACAACATGCTAATGCGCATCTATTTGTAGTTCTAGTAGTTCTGTTTCCAATTCTAGTTTAGATCCAGTTCTAGTTCTAGTTCTAGTTCCAGTTCTAGTTCTAGTCCAAACAGTTCTAGTTCCAGTTCTAGTTTTAATTCTTGATCCAGTTCTGGTTTTAGATCCAGTTCTAGTTCTAGTTCTGACGTGAGAACTAGTTCTGTAGTTATGACTTCTGAAATGAACTGACCTTGTCTTACAACGGGCCGCAGGCGTACAATACCGCGAGATAAAATGCGAGACAGTATGCTCATGCGTATGGGGGAATATCAGTGTAAAATAAAGTAACCGTCGTTTGCGATGGTTGACTCGGAAGACATCCAAGACGAATCGGTGTGGGCGTATCATGCTCTCTCCGCCTTCTCCCCTCCTGCTTCTCCTCCTCTTCCGCGGCATTTCTCTACTAGGGCGTAGGAGACTTCCTCGCGCTACATCAGGGGGTGTTGGCCATGCTGATTTTAATGTAGAGAGGGTCTGTTTCACCAGGGGCGCCGCGCTTTATGTAGAGAGGTTCTGTCTCATCAGGGGGCGCCGAACTTGATGTAGAGAGGTGCTATCTCACCAGGTGGCGAAGAAGCTTGATGTAGAAAGTGCTGATCTCGCCTAGGGGGCGGCCGAACATTATGTAGAGAGGGGTGCCATCTCACCAGGTGCGAAGAGCTTGATGTAGAGAAGTGGCTGTCTGCGCCAGGGGCGGGCCGAGGTTTGATTGTAGAGAGGTGGTGCTGTCTCCCAAGGGGCGCCGAGCTCAACGAAGAGAGGTTTTGTCTCACCAGGGGGCGTTGCGCTTGATGTAGAGAAGTGCTGCTTCGCTAGGGGCTATAAATATGATAAGTGAAAAAATTAATCTCTCTCTCCTCGATGCTCCCACCAGCTCCGCCTTTCTTCATCCTTAGTTTAGCTCCTTTCCTACTTTTGTCGCCTCTCCACTTTCTTCACCTTTATACGTTTCACCACACCCACCATCTCGATTCTTCTTTTCCTACCCTTCCTATCTCCAACTGTCACCTCATTCCTTATCCATGCAGTTCCTCACATCTTCCTCCTCCTTCCTCCCCCTGGGTTCCTTCCTCCTCACCCACCTCTTCTCCCCCACATCTCTTTTTCAGCTCCCTATTGATTCTCACTTCCCTTTACTTTTATTAATTTTACATCCCCTCTCCTCGTTCATCCGTCATCTCTCGATCCTTATGATCTCTTATTAACATTATAAGTATCTCTTGTTATTTTATATAAGCCTACCTTCCCGACCTCTCGACTCAAACTCACTCCACCACGTTCCCTTTCTTTTCCCTTTCCTCCCTTGCCCATCGTCATTTATCTGCATAACATCCTTCCCCATTCTCCTATATTCTCCATCTTATCCATTTACATCTTCTTCCTCTCTATTCTCTAACCCACCACCTCCTCTACTTCTCGCCACCCTCCACATCAACTTACTTCATCTTACGTCTTCGCCTACGCTTCCCGTGAGATTTCATGACAAGTGCAGTTATGTATACCTTATGTCATGATACCTTGCTATGTATCATTTTACTATGCTTACTTAATAAATTAGCGGGTATAGATAGCAATTCAATGTTGTGCTGCCGAACAGATTTTACCGGTCGGGGTTGTGGTCTCACCAGGGCGCGATAAACTTGATGTATAGAGAAGTTCTGTCTCACCAGGGGGCGCCGAACTTCATGTAGAGTCATAAAGCAAGAAGAGACGAGAGGCGGAGATGCACACAGACAAGGTCTGACTGAGCATCACCAACTCGTGCTCGTGCCCGTGCCAACGCATCGGTGATCTTGCTGTCTCCGTCCAGCCTACAGGTGGCGTTGCTATACATCAGTCATGCACCTGCGGATAGGAGAATTCTATTCGATTACGCAGCATATATATATATATAAAGAGAGAGAGAAAGAGAGAGAGAGAGAAATAGCGAGAGAGAGATAGAGAGAAAAGCCGAGACACAGAGAGAGAAAGAGA